TTCATTAGTTCCTGGAGAAACCAATGAGTTTTCTTTGGGATAGAAGCCAGTTGCATATGCACTGGGTAAATCCAGGGAAGGATTACTGCCCAGAAAGGGAATTCTTGCCTGGTTTGTTTTGGTTTGGTTTTTGTTTGTTTTGTTGGAGTTTTTTTTTTTTTTTTTTTGCATTGTGCTAAACAGAGGGCAGTTTAATTCAGGGCTGGGATCTGTGGAGCTCTGCAGGAGGGGAATTTGGCGTTTTTCCAGCTGCTGTGGATGAAGTGGCTGGCCTGGATCCAGCAGGGCTCTGCCTCCCCGGTGTCAGAAGTGCTGATCTCAGTGTGGTGGAGATGAGCTTCCCTTTCCCGAGTGGCACGTGTCCTCCACGGAGCAGGGAACAAACTTTCCAGGATTCTGGGGTGTTACCCTCCTCCCCTAATCCCTGTTTTCTCGCTCCCAGGATCGTGAGTGTGAAGGAGACGCGGCTGACGAGCCTGGTGGCGAATTTCTTGGTTGGGCTGTCGCTCCTGCTCCTGCCTTTCCCTCTCCAGTGGATCCCAAAGCCGGTCCTCTACGGCCTCTTCCTCTACATTGCCCTGACCTCCATTGATGGGAACCAGCTCTTTGAGAGGGTGGCTCTGCTGCTCAAGGAACAGGTATGGGGTGGGAACAGGTGGAATGGGAACACCAGCACCTGAGAGCCGCACTCCGAGCCTGAGCGCACCAACTCCGTGGGCTGTTCGTGACTTTTCCAACCCCCGCCGTTGATGTTTTCTGTCAGCTGCGGGGTATGTGCATTTAAAAAAACCATAGAAAATATTTAAAGCACAACGTCAGGAAAGGGTGAGCTTCTGATTTCCCCCGCAAAGCTTCGGGCGGGTAATTTTTTTGGCCGTGTTTCTCGCTTTCGTTTTGTATGAAACGCCACGAGGTGGGATTTTTAAACTCAAAACGAAATTACTTGCATTACTGAAACCTGTCTGATGTGGGGTTGAAAACAAACCTGGAAGATTTGTTTTCAAGCCCTCTCTGTTACAGGTGCTAAAAAAAAAAGGTGTTGGTTTTCAGTGTAGGAGGTACCTGGAGCAAGTCTCCAGCTCATCTTCTCTTATGTAACAAGGGTCAAGGGCTTAATAAGCCCAACATTCGGCTCTGCCTTCTCTGCTAATCTATCTTGATCTCTGATATTACATCCCAGAGGTTAAAACTGTGCAAGTTGGGTAAAGATTCCATTTGTCATGTCAATTTTTGAATGAGGGCTGAGCAGCTCCCGAGGCATGTGACTTGTTATTACTCCTGGGTTTTAGTGCAAATTACGTGTGGAATTTTCCGAGCTTCGGTTTGGAAAATTAAAAAAGTATTCTTGAATATGGAGATCTCCCTTTTCTGGAAGCCTTTTAATGAGTCATGGCACAATCTGAAACCCATGGAATCTGTACCAGTGCCAGCAGACAGTCGCTCATGCTCTTCATTGATGTATAGACAGTGAGTCAAAGCCTGTGCTCAGACATGAGCAAGGAACTGTCAAAAGAAAACCACCATATTTAGCCTATTAATGTCACTTTTCCCCCCTTTTATTCCTCAAAAATGAATAGCTTATGGGAGTGGAGAAAAAGCACTGGCAGTCTGAGCACAGCCCCTTCCTGCATCTCCCTGATCTCATCCCTTGCTCTTCCCCTAGTGGGGTTCAGCCAAGAGGTGGGAGCACCAGGGGCAAGGATGGAGCCTTATGAAGGCTCTAAAATCCACGAGGAGCTGGGTTGTAGGTGGAGAAACCCCCCCCAGCAGTGACAGCACCCGGGGTGCGTCTGCTCCCCATCACCCCCTGCACGTCCCCCAGGCCCTTCAGATGCTGCTGCAGAGCCCTGCCAATGCTCCTCGGGGGAATCTCATTACCTCACTTACCCAGCTATTACACTGCACTCCAGATGCTCCCAAAGGCACTCTTGGCTGGTGTGGTGTCTTTCCCTCTCCTGGTTCCCAGTGCCCAGTCATGCTCCGAGCGCTGCTGCCAGTGCTGTGGTTTGAGGCACTCAGGTTAACCCTTCAAACCCGTTGAACCCGCTCAGGGCCCTGCTGCTGCGTGCAAATCCACGGCTTCCCCTAAAACCCCACTGTCCCAAATCTTGGGCCACGTTCTCCTGTCACAACTCCAGGTCCCTGCGTGTCTGATGGTGTGGCTCTTCCCTCCCCAGACCGCGTATCCGCCGACCCATTACATCCGCAGAGTGCCCCAGAGGAAGATCCACTACTTCACCGGCCTGCAGGTCCTGCAGCTCCTCATCCTCTGCGGCTTTGGGATGTCCCCGCTGCCCTACATGAAGATGATCTTTCCCCTCATCATGATAGGGATGATCCCCATCAGGTATGAAGCTTGGCTTCCTTTTTTATTTTATTTTTTTTTTTTTTATTCTTTTCCGTGCTTTTTGTCTTCAGGTTTGGATTGCTGGAAGTCCAGGGAGAGGGGAAACGGTTGGAGCTGGGCCTGGTTTACCCTGGAGAGGAGACTGAGAGGGGATTTTGTCAATCCATTCAGATGTCTCCAAGGGGTGTCAGGGAATGGCACCAGAGTCCTTTTGGTGGTGCCCAGAGCATTAAGGAGCAGTGGCCACGAACTAAAACACAAGAAGCTCCACTTCAAAATGAGGAGGAACTCGTTTATGTTGAGGGTGGCAGAGCACTGGAACAGCTGCCTGGGGGAGGCTGTGGAGTCTCCCTGACATTCCAAACCCACCTGGACATGTTGTGTGTCACCTGTTCCAGGTGACCCTGCCTTGGCAGGGAGGGTGGGACTGGATGATCTCCAGAAGTCCCTTCCAACCCCATCTATCCTGTGACTGAAGCCTGGGGTTTCACTGAGAGTCATTCAAAGGCTTCTGGGCTGGGCAGGTGCTGCTCTTCCAGCTGCCCAAGAGGCAAAACCTCTCATTTTAATGCCTGATTTTTCCCCAGAAGCTTCAGTGTGAGCCTTCCCTCTGGGTGGTATTTGATAGTGTTCCTCATGGTGTTGCAATTTGATTTCCTCAGGCCAGTGCTCAGAGCAGAGCTGGAAACTCCTCTTAAGAGGAGCCCTTATCTCTTATCCATTGCTGGGATGACTTTGCAGACTTCCTGCCCTGCTGTAAAAGCCACTGCCAGTGATCAGTCAGGTCAAACTGGCCACATTTAGTCTTAACATGATCTTTAAAAGTGGAAGAGCACCACAGTGTCTTGAGTCTGGAGAGAGAATCGTTGAGAAACTTAACGAACTTCTTCCTCAGTGTTCATTAGCAGTGACTGCCCATCATCCTCCAGTTAAATCATTCATGCTCTCAATCCTTTGGGTGTAATGAGAGGCCATAATAAGATCTTGGAAGGAACAGATCTGTTTCCAGTCCACTGGATTATTTTTGGGCCAGCATGGCACACAGAGCTATCTGGTTGACTTTGAGCTTGCAGCCTCAGAGATCTTCTTCTCTCTGATCTCAAAGTTCAGGGCTGCCAGTGTGATAATCTCCCAAGGCAGCTGCTGTGTTGTTTTCCTTGGCTGGTAAATGGGGAGCCCAGTTTTTCCCAAAACAAAAGCAAATGTCAGAGCTACCATGGCTTTCAACAGGAGCAGGTTAGAGCTGTTTGAGCTGGGCTTTTAAAGATAAACAGCCTTGGAAAACACTGAATTTATTGTTCCTGGGGCAGGAGTCTCTCACCTGCCCTTCTCACTGGTGTTGCTTTGGGTGACCGGATCAGTGGCTGTAAATACTCCAGCACTGCACAGAGCTGGGCAATGGACTCTGGGGGGAACTGGAAGTTTCCATGCAAGGAAGCTCAGCACAGAAAAGAAAATGTGGGACACTCTTTGCTAAACAGTCAGTCCTTGGACATGGCATAACAAACTAAATTAGCGTGGAGAGAATTCACTGTTAAAGAGGCTGATTTCTGTAATAAGAGCAGGATAATGCAGTGGTGCAAATATATCTTCTTTTGAGGCAATAAGATTACCGCCGCCTCATCCTCTCTGTTTCTACCTCATTTCTCTTTCCAGAGCAGTTCTTTCCTGGGAGCTGGATAACCAGCCCTGCTGCTCAGGGGAAGATGCTGCTACCTGGCACAGCCCAGAAAGCTGCCCTTGGCTTTCCTTCCTCTCATTCCTTCTGCCTTCGTGCAGTTTCTGTGGCCTCCAGCCAAGAAGGCAGCACCGTGATCCATGAGCTCTGTAGTTAATGGCTTTTTTTTTCCCAAGGATTTGGCACTCTAAATGGATGAGACAGAGTAGAAGAAATTAAATATATTTCCCCTTTTTTTTTCTTTTTTTTTTTTTAAGAAGTGAGGGGAGGAAGAGGAGATGGGACATCAGCCAGAGAGGGGTCAAAGTCAAGAGTCAAACACAAATGAGTGAGATGTGACTTGGTGTCCCATCCAGAACACCAGCCATGTCTCCAAGCCCCATTTCCACCTGTCCAACGGCATTAGGCACATGATTTGCAGTGTCAGTGGTGAGGGACCACTGCTGTGCTCTTAATGGGGGAGATAATGAGAAACCATCGAAATCCATTATTGAGGTGGAAGAAAATGGGATCTCTGGGTATCCCCAGTTCCTGGCTTTGATCCAGAACTTTGGGATGACTAGTTTTTGGTTGCTGAGAGAAGGATCATCTTCTTCCCAAGCATTCTGTGGTGCTCATCTCTCCTCCCATGGCTGTCAAGCATTTCATTGTGTGATGGGTCTGTTTAAGGAGAATTCTGGTACTTGTCAGCAGTAGATAGTGTTTGGGGTCTCTTGCAGAACTAAACTGGCTTTCTGGTGATTTTTGCCTTATTTTAACAGCTGAGGAATAACTCCCTTGTTAAACAAGGGAAAGTGTCCCACTAAATATGCAGGAGGATTTAATGAAAGCAACTTCAGAGCACATTGTTACAGCACCACACCTTTGTCACCCAAATACACCCATTCTCGAGGATGTTCTTGCAAACAAATTTATAAAAAAAAAAAAAAAAAAAAAAAAAAAAAAAAAAAAAAAAAAAAAAAAAAAAAAAAAAAAAAAAAAAAAAAAAAAAAAAAAAAAAAAAAAAAAAAAAAAAACAAAACACCAAAAGTAAGGGAATCACTGTCTCCATGATCCAGTGGAGAGTCCAGCCTCCAGATGGGGATGGAGTCTTACCAGCAGCTGGAGAAATGCAAGTCGTGGCTCTCCTTGTTTCCTTGCCACGGTCACAAGTCTGGCTGATACATTTGGTGCTTCCCTAAAGACCAAAGCTTCTGGTTTATCTCTTAAAGCTTCATTGTGGTGACAGCTGCAAAGAGTGACTTGGTGTACCTGGATAACCTTTGTGTGCAGCTCTTTGAGAGCCAGGAAGTGATGAGGAAAAAAAAGTGGAAATTGGAAATAAATGGGGTTTTGTGGCAAAGCAACGCATCCATCTGCAAACTGGAGGCAGCAGGAAGGCACTACCTGTGTGCCCCAGCACAAACCAGGAGTAGTGGTACAATTTTGGCATCTTGAAGACTTTGGGGTGGCAGAGCGCTTTGGGAAGGCTGTTCTTCTCCTGTGAGGATGAGGATGTTCTCTTCCCCTGTCAGCTGAAAAGGAGGAGGCTCCTTCCAGAAGGAACTCTGCCCTGTTGTTCCTGTAAAAGCTGTATTTTCTTACAGCGTTGGTTGTTTTTGTTGTCCTCACATTTCTCCCCTTCAGCTGGGAGAGAATCTCATGGACAAACTCCACTGGGGGAGTCTTGGGGTGGACAAAAAAGGTGCTCCATGGCTACAAACAAGCACTGACCCTATTTGTGTTTCACCCCCAGGTATAACCTGCTCCCGAGGATCATCGAAGCCAAGTACCTGGATGCCATGGATGCAGAGCACTAAAGGGGGGGCCCTCCCCACGTGTGGAGCAGCAAGGACAGCCAGCCCTTTTGGAGCGGGAACAGGCGGCTTTCCCGAGGCGCAGGACAATCCCACGCACTTCTTTCCTTCCCCACTTTTCTCTCCGCTCTAACGCCTGTCAGAGACCACGGGAATGCCGGAGCCTTGGACTTGGCAGGACGATGCTCTTGGGAGCCGTGAGGCGAGCAGGCTTGATGGAAAACGCCGCTTCCCACATCCCAAACCCCGGGAACCCCGAAGATCAGCATGTCTGTACGGTTGGAGCGTGGATTCAGAGCTCACATCTGTTCCCTTCTTTTCAGGGTGGTGGGGGGGGAACTCTCTCTTTGTGTTATTTTTAATGCACCACATCCTATTCTTCCCAAAGGCTGAGGACACCAACTGACCCTTCTTTTTTTGCAGAGTGCCAGCCTTGTCCTGGCCCTTGAGTTTCAATTTCCCGTGCATCCAGTTATTCCCAAACGGGGTTTTCGGGGGTGGGAGGGCCTCGTGCTAAACCATTGATGGCAGGAGAGGTTTCTGGCCACTCTTCCAGGTTAGTGGGTTTGGACACAGCTGTGAAATGCACTCATACAATCCCCAGCTTTGGGTGAGTATTTTAATTCCTACAAAAGAGCTGGAAGCGTTGGGAGGTCGGGCTCTCGTGGCCATGCTGATGAAACCACAGCCGGGTCTGAGCTGTTTGGGAATTATTTCGGAAACCCAGAATTGTATTTTTGCACAACTGCAGCAATTTTGTTTTCCCTTGCACTCTCAGAGTCAGATTCTCGTCCCAGGGCAGTTGGGTTATGGTTGCATATACATATGTACAGGAGTGCCTATGTGTACATATATACAGATGGATTTGTGTATATATTTTGCATAGATATACAGACAGGGCCTGATCCTTTCCAAATATCCAAAGTGTTTTGTGCAGTCAGTGTTTCCCAAGATTGCACTTGTTCTCTGCTTCAGTGCTGCTTTTTCTCATTTTGAGAGATGGTCATTTTTTTTCTTTTCTTTTTTTTTTATTTTCCCCTTTGGAAGCTGCTCAGTTACTGGTTTTGTCCATGTGTTGCTTTTATTCAAAGGTGTTCCTTTGCTTCCTCCTCCCTGTGGCTTGAGACCTGTTCATCGTTCTGTCCTGATGCTCCAACATGTGAATTTCGCATTTAATTTCCATGTACAGAATGCAGTGAAAAGTTTTTTTTCCCCCCTCTCTCGCCTAATCAATATTTGTTGGTCATTTCACTGTCTCTGTTTTGTAGCTGATCTCCAGATTCCCCCCCTACACACACACACGCTCCCAGATGTTATGTTATATTATATTTCTGGATGAATCGAACTTCTGCTGTCTTTCATAATTTGGGCTTATTTAATTTTGCTTGTACTACGGTCAGGTTTGGTTTGGTTTTTGGTTTTTTTGGTTTTTTTTTTTGGAGTACTGTGAAGCAAGCTGCCCTTTGGTGTTTTCAGAGCTGCACGTCACAGGTCACGGGGTGGAGCCTTCAGAAAGTGGTGGGCCTGGATAACGACCCCTCAAAGCACTAGAAAAGGTGGGGGGGAAGGAGAGAAAAACAGAAAATGAAATGCAAATGTGTCAGCACGGAGAGGTGTTCCTCAGCAGTTGCTTGCACAGTAAATGGCGCAGAGTTTTTATCGGTGGGGGAGGTTCCTCCCACCCCACCCCGTAGTGAGGGAGGGTGTAAAGCTGTGCTGGAACTAAAACTATGCCAGGCTCAAACCGCTGAAGGTTTGGTGTATTTGCACTAAATTCGGGGGGTATTTGACCTCCGTGTAGCACTTCAAGCACGCGTGCAAAACCAAGTTATTTTGTTTTCTTACCAAACCTTTCCCCTTTGTGTTGATCCTGGATGGAGCAGGGCAGTGTGGGAGTGTTCCCAGGAGCGTGGCCGTGGTTTATGTATTATCCCTGAGGAATCCCAGGGAAGGCCCTCAGCTCAGCGAGCGGAACATCGACCACGTGTGATCTTAAAACCGTGACCTTCATGTGGCACCACGAGGGGCTGCTGAGGAGTCCCAGGGTCAGGAGGGGCCACCCCAGAGCGGGTAATTTGGCTCTGAGTCACCCCTGAGGATTGAGCTGGGGCTGTGTCTGACGGGGGGACAGGACAGCAGCACTGAACCCCTGCGTGGTTTCTGACGGCTCTTCTCGGTGTTTCCCGGCTCTTGAGTCACTTCAGGGCTGAGCTCACCGAGAGCTGTGAGTAGGAACAGGGGCAGACAGGACTGTGGAGGTGCTGAGAGCGTGTCTGATCTCCAGTCAGCGGAAGAAGGGCAGGTGACAGCCAGCAGCTCGGGACCTGTCGGGAGGCAGGGAGTGCAAAAGGCTCGATGAGGCTGAAGGAACGCAGTTTTTCCCCCACAGATGTCAAAAGATTTAACCAGAGCTACCATCACAAGCGTCATCCTGTGGTGGAGTAAAAGCTGTAAAACAACACGTGCCCTGGGGGTGAATTTGTGGTGTCTTTCCTTCCCCCGTGGAGAGCAAAGTCACCTTGTGGGGTGGTTTAAACCCTGTTTTGGATGCTGGAGCCAGAGGAAGGAGGGGATGTGCCCGTGGGGATGTGGCTTTGGTCCCTGCAAGTCTTGAGTTTCGAGATGTGCCTTGCACTCCCCACTTAAAGGACCAAACCCACCCCCGTTAAAGCCTCCTTGGAAGCCCCACTTTCAGATGGTGTCAAGTGTTGCCGAGATAGTGGAAAATGCAGGTGGCAGGGAGGGTTAAATACCCATCACAGCCCTTGTTTGTGTCTTTTTGTTTTGTTTTTACCGGTGTGACTTCAGTGTTTGTGTTTTCTTTGTAGCAGCACTAGGGTTCTGTTTTGCAGGGTTTTCATTCTACAGGGGCCAAAAAAAAAAAAAAAAAAAAATCAACTGATGGGAAATGGGCACAATTTGGGAGGGGGGGGTGGAATTGTGCTGGCTTGGACTGGTCAAACATTTGGACCCATTTCTCCAATAGATGGGTAGAAAAGGGAGATGTGTGGAGGCTTCTTGTCTCCTGAGGGGTTGTCATGACCCTGCAGAGGATTATTTTTTTTTTTTTTTCATGCCTTTTCTCTTCTCGTTTGCTTCTGGTTTTGCTGACTCAAAGTGCAGGCGTTTCCAGGAAGTGGGCTGACCAGGGAAGGAGGGTTTGTTCAGAGTTGATTCAACTACTTTAATACTTCTGTGAAGGTTGAGACAATTAGAATGTAAAAGAAGTTTTATTATAAGCTCTTTATATACGCACAATGCTCTGTGTTAACTGTTGCCAAAGAACTGGGCCGGAGGGATGAGCTGCTGGGAGAGCCCACGGTGTTCCCCTGGGACCACAAAGGTAGGGAAAAGCTGCTGGGACGAGTGGATTTGTGGGAGTTACTTTTTGACAGCTGCCAAAACGATCAGAAACTGGGGGGTGGGGGGTGTGGGCGGGGAGGAGAATAAAATTCTGCTCTCCAACGTTGTGGTTTTTGATCCTTGCGTTGAATGTAGGAGCGAGAATGAGCTTGACAATTAAAGTTGGATTTGTACCTGAACGGTTCCCTTGGTCTGAGACTTATTTTGTGTTGCCTTCAAAAATAATCTTGACGTGCTCTGTATGGAAATGGATGTGTTTTCCCCATGTAAATTGAGGGAGGTTGGTGAAAACACGGAGTGCTGAACAAGCAGGGCAGCACTTTGGGGATTGCTTGGGAAGCGAATCTGACAACTCTACCAGCAACAACCCCCAGACTCCCAGGAGTCAACATGTGAAGCTGTTAATAAATGTCAAGCTCTGCTTGGACACGCATCAGTGCCCTGCTGTGAAAGGGTGGGGATGGAGTGAAGGAATTCATTCAGCTGGTTTCCTGCTGGAATGCTCCCGAGATGAGCCCCACAATGACTGTGTGGGATGTGACACCTCTTCCCAGTGAGCTGTGAGATCTGGAAGATGGTCACACTGGGGTGGTACTGCAGGTCAGAGGGTCCTCCCCTGTTTTTCCCCACTCTGTGTCCCTCCAAGCATCTCCACCATCGCTGGCACAGGTTCATGTTCCTCCTCGATCAAGCTCTTTTTTTTTTATTGTTTATTGCATTCTGAGTCTGCCCTTTGGAGCGTTTTACCTGCCTGGAAGTCTGAAGGGCAGAACCAGGCTCGGCTCGAGCTCCTCTCTCGTGTCTGTTCCCCCCCTGAACCTGAGCTCAGAGCCATTTGCTGTCATCTCCTGACCTGCCTCTGGAAGCTGGCTCTGGAATCTCCACCGTGGAAACGCTGCCCAGGTGCCAGGTGGGGAATTTTTCTCTGGAGAGCTTGAGCAAGAGCCTGGCAGTGGCAGCTCCTTGGGGCTGGCTTTGCCATCCTAAGGAATTCTGCAGGAAGAGCAGACAGAGGAGGGAGTTGCTGGAGCCCATGGAAACACGAATTAGCACTTTTTTTCCTCTTTACAGCTTCTGTGTGTTTTCCTCTCCCACCCCAAGACAATCCCTGGCTGTGTCTCTCAACACAAAGCGCTGCCTGAGCTCGGAGGAGTCGCTTGGCCCTGTTCTGCTGTCACATTAAATATTTAAGAGCCTGTCCTGCCTTCTGCTCCCCATCTGCATCCCTGCTGCAGGGAGCTGCTGCCTTGCAGGGCTGGAGGATGCACCTCATTGCAAGAAGCCAGCAGGGCCCCTTCTGTGCCCACAGGTGGGGAGGGGGGCAAAACGCAAGGAGCTGGAAAAAAAAAACAGCTTGCAATTAAATTCTCTCCCTCCTGAGCTGAGCTGTGCTGGCACTTCTCAGCATTTAAAAAAAAAAAAAAAAAAAAAGGAAATAAAAAAGAACACTCTGGCAGTGAAGAATCTGCGTGATGTGGAGATTGCAGAAAATCATATTGAATTCAGCAGGTGGGGAAACGGTGTCGGTGCTGGGAGCGGTTCTCCCTCTGCCCATCAGCAACAATGGGTGTCTTAGTGTGCCTTTTTTTAGGCAAGTTTGACTCTTTGGGAGTTGTGTTGGTCACCTCTCTGTTATGTGAAGCATCACCTGATTCTCAAATTTGGGACCGATGGCACAGATTTCAAACTGCAGCCCCAGGTGAGTCCCAGCCCACGCAGTAAACAGGATTTTAAGGGATTCATGGAATCACAGAAGGGGTTGGGTTGGGAAGGACCTTCAGGATCATCCAGTTC